TATACATACAGAAGAGCAGTAACTGAAACAACAAAACTGTTTCAATCGCCATAATCATTTCCTTTCTTACTTTTGATTTTTCACAATTTTCAGCTGATATCACTTTATATATGGACATTTTTTTCTCTCACTGAATAAGCAATAAATAATTAATAAAATGCAAACTGATATTGTTTTTCATTTATATTCTAGTAAATGTTTTTATGTAAAAATTATTTAAAAAATGTTTTGACATTTTTTAATTAATATCAAATCAAACCAATTATGGTCAGGGTTATTTTTTTTCAATACCAAAACAAATCAAACTATTTTTTTTTTGGTTTTACTTGGATTGTCAGTTTGGTGTGGTCTGTCGCTTTTCTTTGTACACTCCTACTTTCTTATATGAATAATACGGTGATATATTATTTTAATTATGCTTGAATAACAAGTTGTCAAAGTTCTAGAAAAGAATAAAAGGGAAATACTGAAGAAGAATAAGCAGGGGATATCACATTAAGATGAAGCATCTAAACTACATATCATGAAATAATGATAGTTGTTTGAGAATGAGAACAAAATAATTATTAAACACGATCGAACTCGAACATATGCTAGTCAATGGTGCTGAATATTTCTTTAACAAATATGTTTCTAAAAGCCTCAACTTTTAGCATCTTTTATGGACAATTGTTAGTAAGCTGAGTATTCTTAGGAAAAAAAGATATGAACGACCATCAAACAGAGAATATGTTGTTCTAGAACCACGTTAAGATTTTTCAACTCCTGTGATTGAGACCAAGAGCTGTTATTATTTCTCGTTTATTAATTTGAAAAAGGACAAAAGTTTCTTACTCCATAATTATAGAAGTAATTTCTAATAACTATGCCACGCAGAGGTCATCAAATACAATATTGATGTACAAAGAAAATCGATAAACTTTATCAAATCAATAAGATTAAATTCGTTGTGGTTTTGGTTGATTTGGTTTGGTATTAGAAAAAAAATCTGACCAGAATTAATTTGGTTTAGTTTTGACTAAAAAAAGTCAAACCGAAACCAAACCAACCCGACATTACATTTATACAATTTTAGAAGTATTTTATACATATAAATATCTATTGTATGTAATTTATAAATATTTCTTAAACTTTTTACAGTTTTATCTTTTGCTGTATTATTTCAAGCTTGGTCTTAACATTCTTGAATGGTCCAATAAGTTTTATAGCCCAAAAATATAGCAACTCAAATAAACTTCAAATCAATACTAATGCTAACAAAATAAATTCAACTCAACACTAGAAATGATAATAGTGTTGGATATCTATATTTATATTTACAGAAGATCCCAGAGGCTCGCTCGGAAAGGCTGTTGTACTCTACCTTTTGACTTAACTCTACTCTAGTAGTCACTAGACTCACTATAGTAGTCTGTTTGGCTGCTCTTGCTGAAATCATTACTCTTAATTCTTCCGTGTTCTAGTAATTGCGCTTCCTAGTAAGTTCGTATTGGTTTATAATGAAAATGCATAACTTAGTTTATCTTTTTCTTTAGTGCTTAATTAGTTATGTAATTAATAGTACTTATTAGATGTACTTATTTTAGCATGACTTATATAATACTTTTAGATTGTGTTCATTTTATTATGGCTTATTAATTAGCAATATTTATTTTACGCGATTTTATTGTCTTTGTTATTAAATATTTTAGTCCAATACTATGACTCATCTCATATTATTGTGTTATTTTCTTGAAAAATACATTATATAGTGGCATCCTACTAGGACTAAAGAAATATTTGGAGCACAAGTTACATATTTTGTGATATGAAGACGTTATCGGAAAAAATCCAAAAACCCGAAAAACTCGAAAAAATCGAGATTGAAAAATCCGACACCATTGATTTGATTTAGTAATTAAAAAATTCGAACCAACCCGACTTATGTTCACCCATATTCTTAACCACGTACAGTGATAGTCGAAATACAAAATTCTAACTAGTCAATATAGTCTTTTCGCAACAACTTGTAATTTTGTTAAGAACTTTGTCACTACCCAAAATCCCAACCATGGAGCCGTAATGACGCTTAAATCTACTTGCTAGGCAAACCTACGTTAGATAATCAATTAACTATTTTTACAATTTAAAACAGAACAATAATAATATTTAACGATTGGCAAAACAAGAATACTACAAAGTATGCCCTAAATGAAATAAAATTGTTTGAAACAAAATAAACAATAAAGAATAACAGAAAGGGGACTTCAGGGACTGCGAACGTCAGCGGCTTTACCTCAAGTCTCCTCAGCAAGTCGATCGGGGCAAATCTCCTCTACGCGCCGCTGGGACCAACGTCGGGATCTACACAAGAAATGCAGAAGTGTAGCATGAGTACAACTGGCCCCATGTACTCTATAAGTGCCAAGCCTAACCTCGATGAAGTAGTGACGAGGCTATGACAAGACACTCACAATAAACATGTACGAATAATAATAATAGAATACGAAAATATAGATAAAACGGAAAACTCATATAAACGGACCCGAAGGTCAACTACCAGCCCCTAGAATAACATGATCTCAAATATCATTTCACAATTACCGAGATAAACTCTACAACTACAAACAACCACAACACATCAACTCTGTTGCGGCGTGCAGACCCGATTCCAATACTTAGCACAATAATTATTGCGGTATGTAACCCGATCCCAATACTTAACAAAATAAGTGTTGCGGCGTGCGATCTCAATATCAACTCATTGACATAAACAACGCAACACAACCAATAACGAAAATCTCAACGCGAAGGAGAACAAAGCATACAGAACATCAATGAACTACCTATACAATGGAGGGTAACCAATAACTCATATTTATAATTCTCTACAAATCACCTATATAAGAATAGCTAAAGAACTCACGAAAATCGGGATAACCTAGTAAAGTGCAATAAGTAATATAAAGCCAAGGAAATCAGGTTAAACATGAAGCAGTGAAGTTATGCAATTAATACAGGTCTGAACATATAGCAGGTAAGTAGATATTGAGCGAGAAATGAATAAATCAATATTGGTACATGTAACAAGTAAAGCATGGTTAACAAATAAGATCATGTAACAATCAATGCATATAACAAGAGATACACATGAAATAAAAGATGACATAAAGGTAAATAGACCAATACCGCATGCTTTAACCCATGACAACGCATATACACTCGTCACCTCACATATACGCAGTTTTCCCACATAATTCACATAACAAATAGACCAACAAGTCCTAATTACCTCAAGTTAGACACGATACTTACCTCTTTGCGCAACCAATCAACAATCAACCACGACTTTTCCTTTCGAACAAGCCTCCATACCAAGCAAATCTAGCCAAATTAAATACCGTTCAAACAATTCAAAATATGAAAAAGGTTCAATCTTTGATGAAATTGAAAAAGTCAACAAAAGTATACCCCGGGCCCGCTTGGTCAATATCCAAGATTCGGACTAAAATCCGATTACCCATTCACCCCCCGAGCCCGGTTATGTAAATAATTTTGAAATTTGACCTTAATTTTACAAACTTCCTAAATTCTACCCAAATCCCTAATTTCTACCATTGAAATCCTAGATTTGATGTTAAGAACTCATGAAAAGTAATGTCGAATTGAAAGAAAGTGGATTAGAGTTGCTTATCAATGAATTTGAGAAGAAAAAGCTCTTCAAAAATAGCCTCTAGAGTATTTGGGGTTGAGAAATGGTGTAGAATGAGCTAAGTCCCGATATTTTCCTCTTTTACTCAGCTGCTGGTATTGCAATTGCGAACTCTAGTTCGTAATTGTGACCATCGCAAATGCGAAACACATGTTACAAATGCGAACTGTGCCCCCTAGCATGCATAAGTTGCAAATGCGACAAAAACTCGCACTTGCGAAGGACACCCCCCTCGCAAATGCGTGCCAAGCTTCGCAGTTCAATTGCGAAGCTTCCCCCACTCAGCAAGGTATCGCAAATGCGACCCAAGGATTGCAAAAGCGACCACAGACCTCGTCGCAAAAGTGAACATTTGTTCGCAAATGCGGAATCCCAATCCCCAGCTCCCAGTTCGCACATGCGATCGTGAGACCGCAAAAGCGAGGCTCGCAAATGCGAGCCCGACCTCGCAATTGCGATCTGCAACAGACACCAGCAACTGGAATGCAGTAGTTGCCCAATCACTCCGCAATGCATCCAAAACTCACCCGAGCCCCTCGAGCTCCAAACAAAACATGCACACAAGTGTAATAACATACTACAAACTTGTTCGCTAGCTCAAATAATCAAAATAACATCAAATAATATGAATTGATCATCAAAACTCATGATTTTCAACTTGAAAACTCATTTTCACAATTTTTCATATGGCGCGCCGAAATGGGCTCGGGTCACCTCGGACCTCAACCAAAAATGCGTACAAGTCCAAAAATATCATACGAATTTACCAGAATCATCAAAACATCAATCCGACATCGTTTACCAAGAATATTGACAGTTGTCAACTCAAGTCCCATTTTAAGCTTAAACTCACTTTCTCTTCAAATTTTTACGTAAAAATTTTTCAGAAAAAGACACGGACCACACACACAAATCAAGAAAATCAAATGGAGCTAATAGAGGTCTCAAAACACGAAAATAAAGGCTAGTACTTAAAACGACCTATCGGGTCGTTACAAATTTGCAGGATGAGCAATCTGGAAAATGGTTGTGCTTTTGACAAAAAAGTGAAGAACGAAAGGAGGAACCACCACAATCAGCCCATGCCAGCAAGGGTTCTTGTGAAGAATAAATAATACACTACTCCTAACTAATAATACCATGAGAATAAGGATATTTGGCATGTAAACGCGTAAACCACACAAAGTCGAGGTAAGAAAGAGAACTAAAAACTAAACTGTCACAACATATATTTTGTTTGAAGTGAAAAAGTGTGGTCCATGATATATACTATATATTAGTACTATACAATATGCTCATTGCTAGGCCTTATATAAGGCCTTCCCTTTCTTCTCTTCTAACTCGGTTTCAAACAACCAAGTCCCTGAAACCACCTCTATTATATTCCTCCCCCTCTTGCTCTTTATAGAAGCATCTCATTTCCAAGCTTTTAATTCCACAACTCAATTGGTCTATATATTTAACACTTCTTGTTTTTTAAGCATTAATACCTCTTTTCAAGTTCTTGCATATATATACTTGAAGCAAACAATCAACGAAAACCGGAAAGGAAAGGAAGGAGATGGCGGAGAATGAATGGTTAAACGGGTATTTGGAGGCAATATTGGACGCGGGGACTGATAGAAAGGGGTCGACACAGAAAGAACGTAGAGCTGCAAGTATTGAAGACAGAAACAACTTGAAGAATACTAGTGTGAGGAATAATAATAATAATAAAATTGAGGAAACGTTGAGTTTTGAGAAGTTTGAAATCCAGAAAGAGAAGGCAGAGAAGCTGTTTAGTCCCACTACCTACTTTGTTGAAGAAGTTGTCAATAGCTTTGATGAGTCTGACCTCCACAAGGCTTGGATCAAGGTTACTTCCCTAACTTAATTTAGGCTAATGCAATAGTACTATAAGTGAAAAATGATTTTCTTCTCGCTGTTTTATTTTCTTTTATCTACTTAACTATAGTTTTAGTTTCTACTTCATGATTTAGTAAGGTGGGAGGAAGAAGATGAGAAATTAATCAAGTGATGGTTTAAGTATTAATCATCCAATTACCATTGCTGCTCTCACATGCATATCGGAATTTTTTACTCATTGATAAATACAAATGGCCAAAAGCATGAAAACCACTCTCCTTTCACGGGTTTGTGAAATTTTTATCTTCTTTTTTTAATGGAGTGTTGTAAATTATATATTAACAGTGTAAAACTTAGTGTACTTTGACCCAAAAAAGGAAAAAGAAAGACGTGACATGCGTACGCGCTCTCTTCTCTATTTCAATTGCATGAGAAAGATATTCCGGAGACTTGGAACGGAACATATCACAAAAACCTGTTTATCCAACAAGTTGTTGTGTTCATAGGGGAATTAAGGATTTATAGTTTATGGGTTGGAGTTCGGGATTCTACCCCTCATTTGATTAACTGGATTCGAAATTATTTATTTGTACTTTCTAATAAACTTTTTAAACACATATACAGATTACAGAGTCCAAGTTAATTGGGTTCTGATGAACCCGTAATAACTCATGTTATGCAAAAAAAAAAAAAAAAAAAAAGGAAAAAAAAAAGGAAGAAGGATAGATGTTATGCTTAGGGAAATTTATGAAAAGAAAAGCAAAAGGTGAGGCTAAAAGTGAAGTGAATGGACATGCAGGTAGTGGCAACAAGGAATTCTCGTGAGAGGAATAACAGGCTCGAGAATATGTGCTGGCGCATTTGGCATCTTGCCCGCAAGAAGAAACAGGTCTTTTTCTCCTCCACCTCTTCTTTTATTTCCTCTTTATTTCCCATTAATATTCGGCCATCTTCTGTTTATTCTAGTAGTTTAAAGTGCTAAATGTTAAGATGGTAAAGCAAGGAAGAAAGAGTCTCACGTTGTAACATGGAATTCCCCTACTTGGTCATATTTGCAAAATGTTTGAAAAACTAAAACAAACACGTCTGAAGTCAACAGAATTCCACTAAATAAAGCTTTATTGTTCAATTAATACAGACGAAATAAGCTTAACAAAGAAGTAACATTAATTAGGAAACACAAGAAAGTACACTTACTATCAGCTTGAAGATAATCTGTGGGAAATTGCAGGTAGCGTGGGATGATGCCCAAAAGCTAGTAATACGAAGACTTGAACTAGAGAAAGGTCGTTTTGACGCATTAGAAGATCTTTCTGAACTTTCAGAAGGTGAGAAGGAGAAAACAGATAATGTAAATACAACAGATTCTCACCATGTCATATCAAGGATTAATTCAGTTACTCAGATGTGGCCTGACGAAGATAAACCAAGGCAACTTTACATTGTCTTGATCAGGTAAATTCAGATTGTTATAAAAAATTGTTACAACAGCTAGTGCATAATTCAAAAACACATCAAGAGCAAGAAAAAGAAGAAGAAATGTAATATGACAAATACAAAACTAAAAAAGACGTATAACAATTTTAATGCTATTTTTGCTGTTTTTGTAGTATCCATGGGTTGGTACGTGGAGAAAACATGGAACTCGGACGAGATTCTGACACTGGTGGTCAGGTAGATTGTTTTAACAACTTAAATCAATACAACTATTGCCTCTAAATTTTCTAATCAGGAAAACATGTTCAGCTTGATCACACAGGAAGCAAGTTTGACATTACGAGCTAGTAACAAGACTGGACACATGATCCCTAATTGACAACCCAAAAAACTCCTTCGTAGTTGATTCCTCAGTAACAGAGGTTTTACTGTATGAGAAGTTGTAAAACTCAAGAAATTTCATGCAATTTTTTTTTTTTGAATGAATGATCAGGTGAAATATGTAGTAGAACTTGCTCGAGCACTTGCAAACATGGAAGGAGTTCATCGAGTTGACCTCCTGACTCGACAGATCACATCTCCAGAGGTTGACTCTAGCTATGGTGAGCCAATTGAGATGCTCTCATGCCCATCTGATGCTTTTGGAAGCTGTGGTGCCTACATAGTTCGAATCCCCTGCGGACCACGTGATAAGTAATGCCGCTATTCTACACTTAAGCACATCTTTTAGCAGATGTGGTGTTCATTCTTTAATAGCTTATCATACTTGGCAGCTATCTGGTTCAGTCTTTCCCATTTTGAACATTATCTTTGTGCCAGGTACATTCCAAAAGAATCACTCTGGCCTTACATACCAGAATTTGTTGATGGGGCATTAAGCCACATTGTGAATATGGCAAGAGCTATAGGGGAGCAAGTCAATGCTGGAAAAGCAGTATGGCCTTATGTGATTCATGGGCATTATGCTGATGCAGGAGAGGTAGCAGCGCGCTTGTCTGGAACCCTAAATGTACCAATGGTGTTAACAGGGCACTCACTAGGAAGGAACAAGTTCGAGCAATTGCTTAAACAGGGCAGACTAACTAAGGAAGACATCAATACCACCTATAAGATACTGAGGAGAATAGAAGGAGAAGAGTTGGGACTTGATGCCGCTGAAATGGTGGTAACTAGCACAAAGCAAGAGATTGATGAACAATGGGGTTTGTATGATGGTTTTGATATTCAGTTGGAGAGGAAACTCAGAGTTAGGAGACGGAGAGGAGTCAGTTGCCTCGGAAGATACATGCCCAGGATGGTGGTACGCACCAACTCAAACAAGCCAAAATTAATGATTTCTTACCCAGTTCAGAAAATATTTCTTACCAAGTTCTGATCATCTTGAAAAAATAGGTTATACCACCAGGGATGGATTTCAGCAACGTGAACGCGCAAGATTTGTTGGAAGGTGATGGAGATCTCAAGTCATTGATTGGTACAGACAAAAGTCAAAAGAGACCTATACCGCATATATGGTCTGAGGTCGGACATCCTTCTTGTTTACCTAGCAAACTTTCCAAACTCTTTCTTGAAGCCAACACCATAAAATTTGCAAATACGTCAAATGGATAATTAAAGAGAAGCAACAAGAATGTAGACTAGATTAAAGACAACTATTTAATAATGTTTTGTTTGTCTGGGGTTGTCTATAAACCTTTTTAGCCACATCTCCTGTATTTTCATGAATGCAGATCATGCGATTCTTCGTTAACCCTCACAAGCCTATGATACTTGCACTGTCACGCCCAGATCCTAAGAAGAATGTAACTACTTTGCTCAGGGCTTTTGGAGAATGCCAAGCACTTCGAGAACTAGCCAACTTGGTAGGGCTGAGTTTATCTGCAACCTCCTTTAACTGTAACAGATGCTAGTGGACTAGTGCAGAGTCTAATTCAATTGTAAATTGTGGTGCAGACACTGATCCTAGGTAACAGAGATGACATTGATGACATGTCCAGTAGCAGCTCTGCAGTACTCACAACAGTAATAAAGCTCATTGACAAGTACAATTTGTACGGTCAGGTGGCATATCCAAAGCATCATAAGCAACCAGATGTTCCTGATATATATCGTCTGGCTGCAAAAACTAAGGTAACTCAGAGCAATAAATATATAAGCAAGTGACTCGACATGGGGAGTTTCCCACCAAGAACAGAACAATATAGGTCTTATCTGTTTATAGTCATTGTCAATGCCTTGTTCATAATAGACAAGCCCATCTGTCTGGGCAGGAGAATAATCAAGACAGGATAGAGCTATTTTAGTGATCACTGTTCTATTTGTTTCTTCCATACTTTGACAGAACATGAACTATATAATTGACACTCTTCTTTAACCTAAGTTCTTCAATTCCATGATATGACTGCCAACAACTCTTAAATGGTGATTTTTTCTTGAAGGGAGTATTCATCAATCCAGCTCTTGTTGAGCCATTCGGCCTCACTCTTATTGAGGTAACTTGTAACTTATATCACATTTAGTTTGACAGCTGAGGCTTTGTATGAAAATGTTATAGTTCTGGAAAATCTTTTTTCTGCAGGCAGCTGCTTATGGTTTGCCTATAGTTGCTACCAAAAATGGAGGGCCAGTGGATATACTCAAGGTACACACTAACTGCTATTGATGTTGATGCACAAGTCTTGAATACATATTTAGATATAAAGTTATTCATTGGAGCCTAAAATTTGCAGAATAAAGGTAATGCACAAAATCTTGATAACAAATACCTCGTGTAACACCTGACCTTAAGGAATTTCTGAAAAGTGAAGCCCCAAGCTTTCTGTTGGAAACTTCCCCTCTTTCTCCAAATAGTTATCTTTTTAATTCCACGTACACCTCAAAGTGGTGACCTGTAGCAATTTATGGATGAATATAATATGGAACTTAATGCTCATTCAGGCACTAAACAATGGGCTACTCATTGATCCACATGATCAAAAAGCCATAGCAGATGCTCTTCTAAAGCTTGTTGCTGACAAGAACCTATGGCTGGAGTGCCGTAAAAATGGCCTAAAGAATATCCACTGTTTCTCATGGCCAGAGCACTGCCGGAATTACCTCTCCCATGTTCAACACTGCAGAAATCGCCACCCTGCCAATCGTCTTGAGGTCATGAAGCCAACTCTTGAAGAACCTATGAGTGAATCACTAAGAGATGTTGAAGACCTTTCTCTTAAGTTTTCCATTGATGTGGACTTCAAAGCCAATGGGGAGCTTGATATGGCAAGAAGGCAGCAGGAACTTGTGGAGAAACTCTCACGGAAAGCCAATTCAATTAGCAAGCCTATTGTTAGCTACTGCCCAGGGAGAAGGCAGGTCCTATATGTAGTGGCAACTGACTGTTACAATAGCAAAGGAACTCCTACTGAAACCTTATCTCTAACAGTCAAGAATATAATGAAAGTTGCAGGCTCCAGGTCCAGCCAAATAGGTTTAGTTTTATCGACAGGCTTGAGTTTACAAGAGACTAAAGAAGCGCTAAACAGTTGCCCAACAAATTTAGAAGATTTTGATGCATTGATTTGTAGCAGTGGAAGTGAAATATACTACCCATGGAGGGACTTTGGATTAGATGAGGACTATGAAGCCCACATTGAGTACCGGTGGGCAGGTGAGAACATTAAATCAGCAGTGATGAGGCTCGGTAAACACGAAGAAGGTTCTGAGCATGACATTACGCAATGCTCCAGTGCATGTAGCTCTCGATGCTACTCATATAGCATCACGCCAGGAGCCAAAGTAAGATAGCTAAGCTACTCTTGATGTTCAAAGTTAAACAACTCAAATAGAAATATACAAATTGGTTTTCCCATTTGCATCCTGATTATAACTTATATGTGACAGGTACCTAAAGTTAATGACCTTCGTCAGAGGCTACGCATGAGAGGCTTCCGTTGCAGTGTTATTTACACACATGCTGCATCAAGGTTGAATGTGACACCATTATTTGCATCGAGGTCCCAAGCACTTAGGTAAATCCTTTCATTCCTTTCCTAATCTTTGATCTGGTGACACTACTGTTCTTTGGTTAGCAGATAGTAATATCAGTTCAGTATAAAATTTGTCACAATCACTCACTCATTTTCTGCATGCAATGCAGGTATCTGTCAGTTAGATGGGGAGTTGATCTTTCCAGTATGGTTGTTTTTGTGGGGGAGAAGGGAGATACAGATTATGAAGGCCTGCTTGTGGGCCTTCACAAGACTGTTATTCTAAAAGGAAGTGTGGAATATGCCAGTGAGATGCTTCTTCACAATGAAGACAGCTTCAGAACAGATGATGTAGTGCCTCGAGATAGCACAAACATACGTGCAGCTGAAGGATATGAACCCCAGGATATCTCTGCAGCCTTGGAGAAGTTAGAGGTCATGTGACAACTTTTGGATGATGCATTTTCTATTTCACTTATGGCAAAATTTTCACAGCTTAAGCAAGCGAGAAAAAGTTTGGTTTTCATTCTTATACTTTGTAAAAAAATCAAGTTACATATACAAGTGCATAGTACAACTAGAGTTCAAAGCACATGAACATATATAATAACTACTTTTATCTGATATCTATTAGAGGACTGCATTTTGATGTTCAATTTTAGTGTACTATAGATACAGAAAACACCATCATCTACCAATTTACCTCATGAAGACTGCACATGCTTGAATGTGTTGAACCAAATGTGCACCTCCATAAATGTAGTAATCTAAGTTGTCGGAATAGATGACGGAGTTTCTTTTCTATTAGACTTTGCTTTCTGAAATATCACAAAGTTAAAACAAATATGATGAAATATCCAATTCTCCATACGAGAAAGAATCAGCTTAGGTTCAGTCATGCATATGTTATTCAGTCAAGCAGAACTCTATTAGCATTCAGTTAGTATCTTTTACATTGAACACAGATACTACTGCAACAGAGTACTCATTATATTGCCATCTCAACAACTGCTACAGCGTCCCTGCATTATCTTCCCCATTGCTCTCAAACTGTCTTGACCAGTATTTGCAAATGTACCTGTTTAGTACTAAAGAAACTCCACCACTTTGCTAGATGAAGTACTTGCCTGACCCTGGTTATTTTCATGCACAAAGATCCATGTCTATCTTGAACTCCTCTCCACAAGAACATTTGATACTGTGGGAAATTCTCTGAAAGCAAAATTACTAATTGAGAGTGAAATGGAAAAACAAATTGATAAATTAACTCCATAAATTGGGATATTTTGATTCTCTTTGAAATCTAAAATTGCTACCACAAGTTGAATGACATTCAAAGGGCACAGAAAGAGTGGGTATTTCTCCGTACCATCAATTTTGCAATCTGGAGTTGTAAAGACTGCAGATACTCTGCCTCTCCAGCTTTGTCTGAGAGAAGTGCTTCGTACTCCTCTTCTAAGGATTTGCTATCCATTTCCCTAAGTGATGCCTGCAGAATAATGCATAATGATTGATGATAGACATTTGGAGGTATGTTTCGTTTCAATTATTTTGACTCAAAAACTAGAAGCTATGAACATTTTCTTTTCCCCCCAATATATTTCATGACTTCCACTTTCTGATCTCCCAATACGTTAAATTGGACATATTTTGATGGTCAACTAAACCAAAACACCTGTTTGTTGCGTAATGGCAAATGACAAGATGAATTTAACAAACAGTTGTTATCATTATCAGAAAAAGAATGTTTTGAGCTAAGACTGAACATAATATATGTAAAACAGATTGTAACTGACCTTGAAATTCGTCATCTTCGACTTCACAAGCTCAAGAGATCTCCTTACCTATCAAAGCAAGATATCTTTCAGATTCTTGTATTTCAACGGAAAATGAAAATAAATGTATTTGAATCAGAAACAAACTGAGAAAAACTCAGGTGTTAATTCCCTCATAAAAATCCTATAAATACAAGGACTCAACCTTTCCTTTCTCAATTCGAGATTTAGGCGTTGTTAAACCATCTGAGATCTTAGAGTGGGCTAAAAGAATATAAATAACCATAAAGCAAAGCAACAAAGGCTCCATGGAGGTCACCTTCAGTAGCAAGGATAATACAGGGGGTATGATAACCCTATAACAAATCCGCTTTAAAACAAAAGAATCTGAGGGTAAGGGTCAACATTACCTTCAAATGTTGGAAAGGGAAACCACACAAAATGATCTGTTTCGTTACACTTCTTCCTAGCTGCATGGCAGGTACTAGGTATCTGGTTTACCGCTTTAGGTATCAACACTATGGCTTTAAACCTATATGGTCTCAATTTCAACCAATCTGTAGTTATATTCAAGATCACGTAATCAATACTTGGGCTGATATCATTAACCGTGCTAACCTTGGTATAGAAGTTATGCATGAACACAATGCTCATAACTTCTCTCTAGACCTAGCTGCTACTGAAGCTCCATCTACAAATGGATAAGATCCCAGTATAGTCCAATAGGAGGTTTTGAAAAGAAAGGAGCAATCATCACTTCTTGTTCTATCCAGAGGGTGCTAGTTCCTTTAGTATTTTAATTATATAAATCTTTTTTTGAATTAAACAAACCAACCATGGATAAATCCAACCGACCTCTTCTTAAATTCAAGCGATCATTTCGTAGGTGTTTTCCACCGATTCAATTGGGGAATCGAATTGATTATACACATGCATTTAATTATTTGATTTATTAGCGAACAAGGAAAAATATTATCAAGACGAGTTAATAGATTAACCTTCAAACAACAATGATTAATGACTATTGCAGTATTGCTATCAAAAACGCTCGTACTTTTATCTTTATTTTCTCAATAATGAGAAGCAATTTGAATGAACCGAGTCGACCGCTAGAAAAGGAAGAAAGACTTTTAGGATCACCGTTGAACATCTCTGACCTCCATACTGACATACCAACATAGAGACTCAGCAGGAAAATGCATCTAGAGTTCTAGACCGAGGATATATTTCGGATGATTCATGACAAACAACTAATGCTAATATCACTTTATTGTTTGATTCCATCATTATTTTTCAGTGCCTCAAGTTAGGAATAGGAAGTACCACACAAAAACAGAATAGTCAGAATTGTTTAAGCAAACCTGGCTGTTCTCCATGACAACTTTTGACTTCAGCTCACTCAGCTGGTTTAACTTTGTTCTAGCGTCTTCCATATTCATCTTTAGGATTTCTGTCATGTTATCCTGATTCTCTGTAAATCAATAAGAATTTGCTTCAAACAGGACCAACAAGAAAAAGAAAAAAGATAAAAGAGAGAGAAGTAGAAACTCAGGCAGTGGTGAACATATAGTCTACAGGGTGACTCCAAAATTAGCTTGTAGCAGATTAAGATGCTCCAGTAGCTAAATGGTCATTTTTATAATTTACATTAACCAACCGACATCATGGAAAGAGAATTTAAACTAACAGTGCATTGGTCATACCTTCAAATTCACCTGTTTCCTCACCAATTTTGTCCATCACCTGAATGCTTTAGCCATCAGTTCCAGCAGAATATTTATCATAGAGTAAAAATCTTATTCAGATAAGACACTCTAGCATCTTGGCCAAGAAAAAAGCTACTCCTTCCCATATTTTGGTGACAGAATGACAGCCTGACTAGGCAGTAAGTGGTTACTTTATTGATATATCATACTGGCAAAGGAATGAAAATGCGAGACTAGTTGAAGGAGTATTTAACTATTTATGAACTTGGGTTAATGCAGGAAACATCATATTACCGGTTAGTTTATGCTCAAACTTGAATGTAACATCACAAGTCATGGCTCATACACAAAATTTTCCAAATGTGTGCAATTTGAGAACCACAATAAACTATAAAATATAGCGAAATCATAATACATCAAGTCCAAAACCACTACATCTCAAAGCCTTTGGACAAGAATTCTTACAGGGAGGGCAAAAGTAGTTAACTTGAGTGAATAGCAAGTTGAATCTAAGCAGTTTTGGTCCCCAGACATTGCAAAGCTCAAATTCATTTTGCCTCGGTCAAGCCTTGGACTTCTTAAATCTCAAGTCAATTTGACAGTTGCATTTGAAAAATTCAGAATATTTGTAATCCTACAACTTGTTCGACTGTTGCACTTGAATGGATAAGGATAACATAACTTAAACTGTAATCTTACTATTCTCAGCAATTTCTGATACTTCACAAGGATCTTATTTTCCATCAAAGGCTGGAATGGAATATATGCATTTTTTTTATTGTTGAATATGCCTCTGGCATTTACCTTGACCTGGCTTTTGAACATTTGATATTCCCCTCATTGTGGGTATATATAAACACAAATTTTAAAATCTTACTCGTTTTATCAGTTTGAAATTTATAATTCCACGACAATCCATAAAGAAAAGAACCAAAATTCAGAAAAAGAAGACATTATGACTTAGCAGAAATACCTCGCGATGCTCTCTATCCCACGAGTTCTCTTTGCCATTTCTGATCCAACCCTAAAAGTAGAACCTTACTAGTGTTCAAAATAATGCTCATATAGTCAACAAAGTAAGTGGAAAGCAACAAAAAGGGAACCTGGAAAATGACCTGCTGTTCTCCTAGCTGAGCAGTTACATCTTTAACAGTCTTAGCATAATAATCACTGTTATGACAACCATATGCTTTAGCATTATTTACTATCCATCAGCAATCTCGATATATGCTTTTCAAGTTACCTTTTCTCAAGAAGTTTTGCTGACATGTTGTTTCTCTCTTGTTGAAGGAGCTCCAATGTCTGTTTGATAAACAAGGATAGAAGAATATATGCTAAATCACATGATCTCCAAAGACTAAGTCAAGTTTCCTTATCAAAAGACAAGTTTATGCAAAGTAAAAAATTGCAAACCTGTTCCCTAAATAACCAAAACTCTTCTCCCTTCTATGCAAGAAAAGCTAAGAGTTATAACTCCAAGGATTGTTCTTCATTTAAGTACTTCCCCAGCTTCAAGAACATTGTAGTTTATAGCTCGAGTAGTCAGATAATAGTTTCTACATCAGTAATGTGCATTACTTCATCCTTATTTCAACATTATGTTTCTGGAGTAAGACGAGACCACACTTCCATTTTTTACATACTTTTCAACCCCACTTCTGAACAATGAAAAATTGGAAACTAGCCCTAATCTTTCTGTCAAAACGAATTTACTTATAAATTTCTGATGTAGAAACCATGCCTAGTTGGATCATGATTGTGAAGCTGAGAACAGGAGTACCTATTTCTGGTTTTAGTTTTACATGCCAAAACATAGCTAATCCTACCCATCAAGGGCGATGTGTTTGGTTTCAGCTCTGTTTCAGAGTTAATTGATTCCAGCTCTTAGTGTTACCTGGTTGAGGGTGGATGAATCAGCTTCTAGAGAAGCAATTTTTCTTTGCTTTTCCAAGATCACGGAACAGATCTGCCCCCTTTTCTCCAATATCCTAGCAATTTCCTCTCTGAGATGGCTTGTCTGACATTTCACTGCATTGTTAAGCAGTTCAAAGAATGAGGCTTAGATGTTGTAGACAGCAACAGATGTATTTTTTTGATAGCTCTTTGGTTCAACCTAGTTCTTGTACAGGATGTAGATGCAATGTTAGATGCTATTGAGCAAGTGCACCTTCTGTAATCATGCACTGGCTTAGAGAAGGTCATCCATAAAATCTCTTACCATTACTTATCAAAAAAGGATTAGATGTTGCAGAGTTCTGTTATTCCACATGGAAAGCAATATTTGCTTATCAGATGAAAATGA